TTTCAGAAAGACAAGTTAGCTTTTGATAAATATTTCTATAAATAAACTAACAACATAAATGTTGGGTTATTTTTAGAGCATAATGTTTACGTAGTAAATTCCCTCCTAATCTTGTTTTGACCAACTATATAAATAAACTGATAAAAAGTGAAATCCCGGACTCACCCACGTGCATTGTTCCCAGCATATAGGGATGCATTATGACGACGTTAAGGGCACTGCACAGGATCACTCCAGCTGCATAGTAATAGGCCGATTCAATGGATTCCGAGTCTTTTGAGTGCGTGTAGTAGGCGATGAGTTTTAGCAGGAATATCGGCTGAAGTGTTCGGAGTCCCAATTCGAGCATGAAGAGCACCAGACCAAGGAGGGCAAAGTACCAGCCAAAAACCCGCAGGAGGGCCCTTAACAGATTGGGTTTTCCTTTGGTCTTCTCAAGTTCCAACGCCCACGAGGCGCACAATTTGTTACCGAGGGTCTCTGGAAAAATTGCACAGATTAACACAAATTAATCGCTGATAACTAGGGACTCCATAAATTCGGATTACGAAAACAATGATTACCCGGAGACACAGTTATCAATTTGGGAAAATAAAAGCACAGAATGATGAGCGCAATTGAAGAAAAAAGCAAATCAATTAAGACGGTCAACGAACATACTATGTACATGCATCGATCAGTCAAATTAATTGTACTCGTGATAAGTACATATGTACATACAGTGCGTTTGGAAAATGAAAGGCTGTTGGAATGATCATTCCATTATCTAAAAAACTATGACTGGCACTGATAACATAAATCTCCATATGACATACAATGATATGATGTATTTTATGCTTAAATCGATTTGGAATTTCGCAATTCACCATTGGGTGAATCACAATCATAATTTCACCATACCCGATTTGTGCTCTTTCAAGGCTCTGTAAAGATCTTTGGTATCCAAGGTGTCCTTCCGACCCTTCATAAAAGTGGGCATGGTGTACCTATTTAATTGTAGAATAAATTAACGTAAATATATTATATTTTTGTAATATTTTTAGAATTTACTCACCAGAAACATGCTGCCGAAATAAAATTGGAACGTTCTCGGGGATTTTCCGGCAGATCTGCCGTCTTCACCGACTGCATGTTGAACTCCCTCTAAAGAAACTGAAATAAAGGGCGGTAGCGGTATGATAAACTGAGCAATATCGGATAGTGGAGGTATGTAATTCTGCTGAGTGGTTTTAGAAACAAAAGTCGATATGAGCACAAACACGGCACGTCTTAATCAAACAAACATTGCTGTTTTATTTATCTACGATTCGAATTGACGTTGGCTTGACGACTCGGAGAAGTCAGCGTAATTTGTATTATTTTGTCAAGAAAAAAATGGGCTGGGAACTAAGGGATGGTATTTGTGTCATTGCTCATTGCTCATAAGTTTTGTAATTCGTCATAATAGGGTTTGCTTAGGCGACAAGCCCAAAGAATTGTTGTTTAGTTTCCTATAAAAAAAATGCGTTAGGCCTTACAGTGAATAAAAAAGTAAGAAATGTTGTTCATATATTTAAAGAACTTAGTTTAAAAATTCCAGAATGTTCAAAAACTATATCTCTTGTAAAACATAAAAACATCTTAAAATTAAAATAAAAATTGTGGTTTAGATCCTTTTTTGAAATTCTAGAGGTAAATGTATTGTAATATATGTATCTCCCAACTGGTATCCACTGTAATTGTCTGTTTCTTTTTCTGCCCTTTTCACTCACTCCCGTTGAGAATAAGCACTTCGGGAATATACCGTTGGTATATATACATATTTATATATGTATATCTACATATGTGCGGATTCGTACCACGTTGTTGCTGGCAAAAGGGAAACTTTTATCCAAATGCATGCAAATAGACATTACATTTATCGGCCAACAAACAAACAATAATTGCGCACAGATAAAGGCCGCATCGATGGTTTTTCGTTTGTCTGTAAATTATCTAATCACATGGATTTTTTCAGGCCCACAAATTGCCAGGCAATCGGTGAGCACAATTAAAATAATTGCTGTTGCTTGCGAATCACATGTACGTACATTTGTTTCAATATTGTTTACATTCAACAATATGGTTATTGTTGCCAGCGAACGTGAGAAAATCGCGATAGGCTAGAAGACCCGGCAAAGCGAACAAAACGTATACGTATTGTAAATAATAAAACAAACTTCGGTCCGAGTGCCGCAAAGGCGAAAAGGCTACTGAAATGCTGAATTCTGAACACTGGCGGTTTCGGCGGCTATCGGCTCTAAATACGAAATCGCCCCCAACCCCAGGCGCACACAAACTACAGTGGAGCCTGCTTAAGTGGAACGAATAAAAAAGCAGTTGGTTTTTTTTTCTTGATTTTGAAAAACACATTTTTTTTTAAATTGTTGTCCATTTAATTTTTTAACTTTAAGAATGATATACACTAAGAGAATAATAACTATTATACTATATTTATTTCATTGTTGACTGTTTTGAGACTACACTGTGTATAACAACATCTTCGTTCAGTTTGTTTTTCATCTTCTTTTACCCTAAGGGGACCCAAACTCCATTCGAGCTTTTATGACCATCATAATCATATTTATGTAAATATATATGAAATCCACAATCCACAAAGTTTTTCAATCTTGTATTAATTTTAGTTTTTTACAGTTTACAATATCAACCGTTGTTAGATATTAAACGACTGCAGCTCCAACACCTCGATTCTTTGAGTATCCATATTCTTCAAAAGGGGCTTTTCATATATTACGTCATCATAGTTTTGGCGGTGCTTGACCTCGCTCCCGCATATAATAAAGTAATCAAACAAATAGAAGATTAAGTAATATTAAGAAGCTACGAAAGCAATCACAATTGTAAACAATTACAAGTGATATAATAAAAAAAGTCCTATTCAAAAACTGTCTTATCAATTCTTCAAGATGCAGTTGTTTACAAGACTTGGTTGTGACTAATCGTTTTATGCGAAAATCGAGTATAGTTCAATTTCCATTGTTACGATACTCGTTTTATGTTCTGAATATTAAACTATTACTTCTGTTTAAATAGTGGGACATTCTCTAAAGAAAAATAAACGGTAGTGAATGGGGAGTTAAGCATGTGTCATTAGAAACCTACGTCAAAGTCGACGTAAATTAGTTATTTGCATAATCTCTACATTCAACATACATATTTATTTCTTTGTTTATTTGATTTCCGAGTAAATATCATAATCTGTACGTTGGTAAAAAGATGCATGTTTCGGAAGTAAGACTGTGGAACGAATGCAATCATTTTGAGGGGTATGTACGTACATATGTATAAGAAGAGGGTGCAACAAGTGCAATTATAAGAATAGAAACAAACGAAATTCTAAGAGTTAAGTGAATTCGTAAAAATCTACATTAATTCAGGAAGCTGTAATCAAAAGTTATAAAGTCTGAAAACGTTTTTATAAAAATTGACCATTATTGAATGAATTAAAAACAAAATCATAATAACAAAACTTTTGTTTCAATTGAAATAACTATTGACGACTTAAAATTGAATATATATATTTAAGATTTTCAAGATAATCGAGCAATTTACTTGCATTATAAATACTAGTAGCCGATTCCTCCAAGTTAAATAAGGATTGGGCCTTAAATCTAAAACAATTTAATGATATTAATTGAAAAATTTAGACAAAAAGCGAAAGGAAGGCTATTTTTTTGCACCGAAATTTAATTTAAAGGACATTGGTGAGGCACTGAAATTTGCTTTTCTACCATCATTTCCATTACAATTTAAAACTGCACTTTCCTCCAAATGAAATAAATAGCACTGCAATTGTTTAGTCTATAAAATAGTTCCGATTTCCAGTTTTATTTGTTGGGTTTATTGGTTGTACATTGGTGGAAATGTAGGACCCCGCAAGACCTGAAAACGAAGACGACTTAGGCAACCAAGGCGGAGGCGGTGCTCGACTCGTATTTCCAGTTGGGCGGCAGGACGCTCTTGGTCTTGTAGTAGCGGGCCAGGCGGTGGATCCTGGACTCGACCAGAATCAGACGGAACTTGCCGTCCTTGTCCTTGCGGTTGCGCTCCAAATGCTTGCGGATGGCGACGGCCTTCTTGATCATGTGGTACAGATCCTCGGGAATGTCGGGCTTCAGACCCACCGACTTCATGATGCGCAGGATCTTGTTTCCGTTGACGAAACGCACCTGGGCAACTCCGTGCGAGTCACGCAGGATGATGCCTAAAGGGGGGGAGAGGGGGGCGAAAACCGGAATCGGTGTTAACATAACCTCAAACAACAACATATCTCGGCACTCACCGATCTTGGAGGGCGTCAGACCCTTCTTGCCCAGCTTCTTAATCTGGTCCTTGACATCCTCGGCGTTCAGCTTCAGCCAGGATGGGACAGTGCGTCTGTAGGGGAGGGCTGATTGGGAAATACCCTTGCTGCGGATAGGGAATACACGATTGTTAGTACGCGTTTATGGCGGCCCCTGTCAAAAGCCCAATACTACTACGTCTGCACCATGTGCTTGCCGTTGCGGTCGACTTTCGGCCCACTAAACCCCCCGGGGAATCGTGTTTATCACATTCATTCGATCATTCCGCACGGCAGGCACATTTTGCAAACACTCAGCTATGTGCAGCTGCATTGGAAACAATAAAAAATCGCATTTTTACCCAGGAGCGTGCATACGACCCATCTTGATAGTCTAGTTTTTGACACCGAAAAGAAGGTGGAGACTTTTGGCACGTTGACAGCTCTGCGATTGTGGAGACCTGTCAAAGCAGCTATCGATAGTTCCAGCTAAACGATATTTTTTATGAAACTGTGTTATTTCGTTTTGATTTTAAAAACCATAAATTACCGGATTTTTAAATTTATTTTTAGTGCATAATTATAAGAATATTTTTTACATTTAATTACTTCAACTATCGATATTGATAGCTAAACTCTACAAAACCTCAGGGTTGCTTTAGATAGGTTTCATCTCCAATCCCAGGCAAAACGGTCATATTATTGTTTTCGGACCAAGAATTTACAATAAAATGCATTTAAATAAATATAGCGAGCTGGTGGAGCGACTTGAGAACGAGGAATTCGAGGTGAGACGGTGCATAATCTGTGTACTCTATAAGAAAGTGACAAGCCCTTTATTTGCACAGCAAGTCGAATTGGGAGCTGAAGTCTACCAGCAGTTATTGGCGATTTATCTCTACCAAAACAAACTGTAAGTGCTGTATAATTAAGAGAACAACAACAATTTGATCAACTTCTTTGTATATATTTAAGGGCCGATGCCAAGTTGCTGTGGATGCGAATTCCGGCTAGATTAAAGGAGGACAAAGAACTGATTCAGCTGAACCTGCTCAACCTGGCCCTGCAAAACAATAACTATGCCGATTTCTTCAAAAACATCAAGTACGAGTGGTCCGAGAGAGTTAAGGCACCCGTGGAGGATCTCTTGGGTACGTTTTCCTATGAAAGTTTAAGATAAAGTTGTAAAATAAATATATCTTTTTAGTTAAACAACGCGAGGAGCTGTTTAGACTGATGGGCAGCGCCTATGTGTCCATCTACCAGCACAACCTCTTGGAATTGTCCTTGATGTCAGAGGACGAACTGAAGAATGCCTGCGCCGCCTTAAACTGGACTGAAGAGCTGGACGGCGACCGGGTGATCCTGAAACCCAAGGTCCAGGAAGCACCGCCCAGTCGTGCAAACGACGACCAGTTGCTCAAGCTGACTGAGTTTGTAACCTTCCTAGAGAATTAAGCTTCAATAAAGTTCATACAATTTTATAAGGGATAATATTTGTGAATTGGCAATCGTGCACTTTTCTTTTTTTATGTTAAATTAAATTATTTTTTTCGATTTTGCGTAAACATTCCATTTTAAACACCCTACAAACGGCCACACTGATAAGTATCGATATCTTAAATAGTTTGGAGTTGCTATATATTTTTTACCAGTAACATCCAGAATTCCGTATAATTATCTACAATACACGTAATTCCCGCTCATATTAAAAAAACGCCCTGAATCGTTGTGAAACATGTTAATTATTTCAAAAAACGCGCCGTTAGTTTTATAGCAACTAGCTTTTAAAAGGATATTTGTCAGTGCTTTAGATTAGTAAAATAGACTTAAGCATTCTAATCTAGCATCTCCTTAAGTCTAGTAAATTAATTTAATTAAATTTGCCTTCTAATTATTTTTCGAGTTAAATAATTTGTATTTTAAAAAAGTTATCGATGTGGCCGCTTCTTTAAGCACCGATAGTATCGAATAAAATCGATTTGCGTTCCAGCTCTACCGTTGTGTCACTTGAAGAAAAAACGACGTACGATTTTCATTTGAAAAGCAATCAAAGGATATTGTGTAGACTAATTGCAAAGTGGAGCAGGAAGAAAGAAGAAGCTTGCGATATTATTTTGTGACCCAGAACAAGCGAATTGCGAATCGCCAGAGGGCAAAATCCCGTTGATTGGCTGCCGAATAGAAAAACCGATTTTCAGTGCGTTTGTGTGTGAGCAGCAGCAACAGCGGAAAAAATGGCAGCGAGCGACAAATCGGTCGACGATTCTCTATATCCCATTGCGGTTCTGATCGACGAACTGAAGAACGAGGATGTTCAGGTTAGTCTAGGGCCTACGCCCCAATCTGGAGACCTCTTTCGGGAATTGGCGAAATATTCTATTGCTAAATTGGGGAAGCGTGCCCTCACCCACTGCGATTTCCCTTTCGTGGTATTTGTGCAAAAATGCGTCACTGTGTGTGCATGGCTATTTGTGTGTTGGTGGGAACAGGAAGAGGAAGAGCCTGTGCATTGAAAGCCCTGTTAAAATCATTCCAAAAATCCGATATACACAAGATTGGTGTTTTCCAGAATATCAATAAAATCTATTATCTATTAAAGGCGACTATTTGCATACGTTGCCATGATTACTTCGATTTTATTATCTCTCTTTTATGTATACATGTACATTATTTGCAAATACAATTTGTAACTTCTAGTTTTATAAATAGCAGCAAGGTTTTTATCAGTAATATCATTTGCGACTTACTAATTTGAAAAGAAGAGGGAAACATGAGATTATTTAGCAACAATTTAACGTATTTCTTTGTATTTGGAATAATGCGTGGGTGGAAACTAACTATTTTTTATTATTTAAAAACAAACTTGCTTATCTAAATGCTAATCTAATCTGTAAAAGAAAACAATTTGTAACCTTTAAAGCTGCCTAAGTTTATTTAGGTACTTTTTGTTTTTTATATATAACTGAAAAAAGATTAAATTTACTTTGAGCTAAATTATTTCGGAATCACATTTCGGTAGAGCATCATTTGAAGATAAACTGAGGTTAAACAATAAACAATGGTCGACCACGCCCTGTACATTTCACGTTTTATTTGAGTGATATCTCAACATTTGTTTATAAACATTAGAAATACTTGTTATTAGTAATTTATGACATTAATTAACTTTCACTTTGTAGTTAAAACCCCCTGTGCAGTGAGTTTTTTTTCCATGGTGTTAGAATTCATTATTATTAATCTAAACTAATATAAAATTGGACCTCTAAAAAACGGTCAGTAGCAAATTTCACCCAGAACGGATTGACATAAAAATCTAAAAAAATATTTAATATATTTATTAAAATATTTCGTATTTCGTTGTTATACTAATATTATGCCTAAATCTAAAATATCACATATCTTCTCCTTCTACCGAACAGCTTCGATTAAACTTTGATTTATTTGTTGTTATACTATTAACAGACGAAAATGTCCCTAACCTATTTTTTTATTATTTTGACTAAATCTAAAATATCACATATTTTCTCCTTCCACCGAACAGCTTCGATTAAACTCCATCAAGAAGCTGTCCACCATCGCATTGGCTTTGGGCGAGGAACGCACACGGTCCGAGTTGATTCCCTTCCTCACTGAGACCATCTATGATGAGGATGAGGTTCTCCTGGCCCTGGCCGACCAACTGGGCAACTTTACAAGTAAGCAAATAGATAGTAAATATATCTGCGAAATTTTCCCAACCACTTTTCCACCTTTTATTCCCAGGTCTCGTCGGCGGACCCGAGTTCGCCATGTACTTGATCCCGCCCCTCGAGAGTCTGGCCACCGTGGAGGAGACCGTGGTGCGGGACAAGGCTGTAGAATCTCTGCGCACCGTGGCCGCTGAGCACAGCGCCCAGGATCTGGAGATCCACGTGGTGCCGACTCTACAGCGCCTGGTATCCGGCGATTGGTTCACCTCTCGCACCTCCGCCTGCGGACTCTTCTCGGTCTGCTATCCCCGGGTCACGCAGCCCGTGAAGGCCGAGCTGCGCGCCAACTTCCGCAAGCTTTGCCAGGACGAGACACCCATGGTGCGCCGGGCTGCGGCCAATAAGCTGGGCGAGTTCGCCAAGGTCGTGGAGACCGAGTATCTCAAGTCGGACTTGATTCCAAACTTTGTGCAGCTGGCACAGGATGATCAGGTAAGCAGATAAGTTATTTACTATAATAAGCTTTTAATTGCATGGCTATATTTTCCAAAAATCAGAACTAATAAAATGATTAATTAGAATTAATAATGATGAAATTGACTATCCTTTATGCTCATAGGGCAGAACTACTTATTGAATCAATATACACTGGTGGCAAAAATTAAAGAAACGATTTGGTAGGGCCTGCTTTCTTCTCATTTTCTCACTAATGAATGCTGCAATAAATTTTTAACATTAAAATCGAAGATAACCTTATAATTTTTGCCTATATTTTCCGTTTTTTCTTTATTTTGGGCAGAGTTAACTTCTCAATTTCTTCAAAATAGACTACATTTATAAAAAAGATCATTTCAAAAGACGATTTGAGGGATCACAAGTCCTTAAAAAGCGATCCTGTACTTGTACAACTTAAAAAACAGAATGGTAACTGTAAACTACCTAAATGCGTTGTTGGGAACTAGATGGCCAGCCCAATTCGGGCTAAAAAGAAAATTAATTTTTTTTGGGACTTAAAATTTTTTTTAAAAATCTCTCGCTTGATGTAAATTTAGCTACTAGAATACACTTTAAACAAAAATGATAACCAAATTTATATCAGCTTTTATTAGTGAGAAAATGAGAAGAAAGCAGGCCCTACCAAATCGTTTCTATTATTTTTGCCACCAGTGTAAAGGGAATTTAAATTTTTCTGAAATTTAAATTTTTTATTACGGTCATTCCTAAAATACTAATTCTAACTCCTCAATTTAGGACTCTGTTCGTCTGTTGGCTGTGGAGGCCTGCGTCAGCATTGCCCAGCTGCTGCCCCAGGATGATGTGGAGCATGTAAGTGAATCAGCAAGGAAATCCAGCACCCTTTCTTACAAATATTATTTTAAAACCCTTAGCTGGTTCTGCCCACACTGCGTCAGTGCGCCAGCGACTCCTCGTGGCGGGTGCGCTATATGGTGGCCGAGAAGTTTGTCGACCTCCAAAAGGCCGTGGGACCGGAGATCACGCGGGTGGACTTGGTGCCCGCCTTCCAGTACTTGCTCAAGGACGCCGAGGCCGAGGTTCGCGCTGCGGTGGCCACCAAGGTGAAGGACTTCTGCGCCAACCTGGACAAGGTTAACCAGGTGCAGATAATCCTTAGCTCCATTCTGCCCTATGTGCGCGATCTCGTTTCGGACCCCAATCCGCATGTGAAGTCGGCCCTGGCTTCCGTGATCATGGGCCTGAGTCCGATGCTGGGCGCCTATCAGACGGTGGAGCAGCTGCTGCCCCTGTTCCTCATCCAGCTGAAAGATGAGTGCCCTGAAGTGCGCCTGAACATCATCTCGAATCTGGATTGCGTAAACGACGTCATCGGCATCCAGCAGCTGTCACAATCGCTTCTGCCGGCCATCGTCGAGTTGGCCGAGGATTCCAAGTGGCGCGTGCGCCTGGCCATCATCGAGTACATGCCTGCTTTGGCCGGTCAGTTGGGACAGGAGTTCTTCGACCAGAAGCTGCGCGGTCTCTGCATGGGCTGGCTCAACGATCACGTGTACGCCATTCGTGAGGCGGCCACTTTGAACATGAAGAAACTGGTCGAGCAGTTCGGAGCTCCCTGGGCCGAGCAGGCCATCATTCCCATGATTCTGGTTATGTCGCGCAACAAGAACTATTTGCACAGTGAGTGTTGGCTTTGAACCATTTCAAGACTTTTTGGATTTTTATTATAATTTTTTTCATTTATAGGAATGACCTGCTTGTTCTGCCTGAACGTTTTGGCGGAGGTCTGCGGCACAGATATCACCACCAAGCTGCTGCTTCCCACAGTCCTCCTGCTTGCCGCCGATCCCGTAGCCAACGTGCGCTTCAATGTGGCCAAGACCCTGCAGAAGATCTCGCCCTTCCTGGAGGCCAGCGTCATCGATGCCCAAGTGAAGCCCACACTCGACAAACTAAACGCGGACACGGACGTGGACGTCAAGCATTTTGCTGCACAGGCCATTGCCGGCATAGCAGCAGGTAAGCAATTGTTTTCCAATTTAAATCTTAAATTGCTATACATTTAAAAAGCAGCAAGTGGGAAATCACAGAGTTAGACAGAATAATTATATACAAATGTCCATTTGGGGTTGTTGCTTTAACTTATATTGCCATCCTGCTGTAGAAATGGAACTGAATGTGTTTAGAACGGCGGTGCCGCCTTGCATGGGTGCAAAAATTGAGGCCGCCATGGACTCGAAGCTGATCGTGGAACCTCCTCCACAGCCGGCGGCTAACGATGAAGATATTCTGCAGGAGATGAACGGCAAGGCAGCGGAGCCGCCC